GTGATGTCGTGGATCACAAGCTCTGTATCTGATGATATCAGAAGAAGTATAATGTACCTCAAGACTGCTCAAGCAATGTGGTCAAGGCTCAGAGATACGTACCACAGAAACGATACTTTCAGGGTTTATCAAATAAGGTCACAGTTACGGGAACTGAAGCAACATGAGTCTATGGATATCAATACTTACTTCACAAGGTTCATTACACTGTGGAACGAGTTGAAATATTATCGACCATCTCTTGTGTGTCGCTGTGGTCAATGTACTTGTGGAGCAAAGGAGAAATTGGAAAAATACGAGCAAGAGGATTGTCTTAGGGATTTTTTGATCGGTGTGAATCAATCTCACAGGCATACAATCGACATGATTGTGTCAAAAGAGCCTCTTCCTGATATCTTTTATGTTCTGAAACGCTTGAATTTTAAGGAATCTCTTAGGAAGAATGGTTCAAAGACTTACAGAAACAGATGAAGTCAGGGCTCTTCTTCAATCCAATATCACCGGGCCATTGATAAGACAAGTGATTCTCCTTTTTTTGTTTGCTGGGTTCTTTTAGCTCACAGCTTTAAACCTAATATCACAGCTTTACTTTTGACTAGAATACGTTCATTGATTTCGAGTTTTGTTCATCATTTAGGCCATGATCTGCCTCTTTTCTCTGTTTCTCCCAGTCACAATATGAGTTTACCATTCTAATCCTAGGATTGGAACTGATTTTTCTTTTTGTTACATTTTGGTATATTTACTATGTTTAGTAATTAGTATCCATCTTCATATTCTAAAAAGCGAGCTTGATGAGCTACTGGTATTTGTTAGCTTAATGAAGAAGTTAGGTTCTTGTAGGTTTCTCTGTATCATCTATCTATTGCTTATCTAAAATTCAATTCATTAGTTTAGGGAAAAAATACAAGCTTGGAATTTGTTAAAAGGGGCACAAGAGGTTACAGATTATTTTTTTTGGCTGGGGAGCTTTAATTAGTTTAGCTACTACAGCTTTGTACTTTTATTCTAACTTCGTAAATGCCAATATTGATGTCTTAACAACAAATTTGGTGGTTCCAGCAACCTTTTACGTTACTATCTCGCATTCACTTCACTGACATATTACGTATCTGTCTCTAAAAGTCTGAGTACTACTACTTCTGCATATATTTTAATATTTAATACAAATGAGAACACAGAAACAAATAGCAATTTTCCAGTTTTACATTTGTGTTTAAATCCATCTGCAACTTTATATTAAGCTTTTCTTACAAGGAAATGATATGAAACTGTAGTTAGTTTGAATCTACCAACTCACAGGCTTGTTCACCAACTCTATAGTATAAAAAATGGGGTGGTTTTGGACTTAGTTGTGTTCCATAACCATTGTTGTAGACTTCATATAATAATAATATAGCAACTCAAAATTTTATAATATAAGAATAAAGATCAATTTATCCTAGTATTCAAAAAAAAGTATGGCAAAAGGGTTTCATTTCATTTTATTCTATATATATTTGTAGCCGGAACATCCTATTAAACAGAATAATACAAAGACAGTAGGTGAATAAATATTTTATCATTTAAATTAGATTTGGTTTTTTTTCAAATAGCATTCCTTTGTATCTTATGGCATTATATATTCCAAACAAATGTTTCCATTGTCATTGGTGAAATTGTCTATTCAACGATGCTATTCACTTTTGCCTTGTAGCAGATAGTGCCAATATGTTTCATCTACTTAATTTCCTTTTAATGATAGTTACTTTTTCAATATTGTCAATATCCATAGTGATCAAATATTTATTTTGAATTAAGGGTAGTTTTCTTTTCTGACGATATCCTTTATATTTTAATATAGAGCTTCTTTAATATATAGTTTATGCTTTTATTTTTTAAATGAATTTAAAGAAAAGGCTGAGGACAAACTTTTGAGACCCCAGTACAAGTGGGGAAGACGCATGCTCTATGTTTTGTTGTAACGTATTGACATCTCTAGATGTAATTACAAAAGAGCATTAGTCCCTTTTGCTTTTCAAAACATTGTATTGATCAGTGAAATGGTTTTAGTCTACCTGTTTCGTTTCGTTTGTCAAATTTATATTGGCCACACTCTTTAATATTGCGGTATTCACGTGATGATCGTATCAAGAGTAATCTGAAATTTGATCTACTTAATGAGAAAAACACAACAAAAAGCCTTCACTATTGATTGTGATGTTTCTTCCATATTTGCTTCGAACTACCTACTTGTTCTGTCCTCTTCTACCGACAGTCGATAATTTATTTTAGCTCCATTCGATTTTTAGTGTGTTTGCATTTTGGTTTGATGATTGTATGTTTGGTCCACACTCCACAGCACAATCCTCCAGTTGGTCGATTATCTCGTGGAGACACCACAACCACTGAATTTATATCTTTGGTGAAATATATATTATATTATATGTTTCGTACCATTCTTATATTATATTTAACTTGGTCCCATGATGATTCTGCTTTAGAGTTCATGAAGTTTGAGTTAATCTTTGATTATTGTAGTTTTCTAATAAGTTTCTAATGTTTCATCCGTATTAGACCACCTTCATTGATAGTTTTTAACAAGTATCTAAATAATAAACAAATTAAAAAGGAAAAAAGATGGAGAGAGAATAACAACCGTTGCTTATTTAATGCACTTTAGATATGTTTATAAAAAATTTTAAGAAACTTTGGTGACAGATGTTTATATATAAGAAATTTAGAAAATCTGAACTTTTATTAAAATATTAATAATTTTTATTTTAGATACGGCTTTTACCATTTTTGCCGATGAAAATGCTCAGTGCACTACGATAGTTTCTCCCTCTCTTTTTTCATGTTTTTACATCGATATAGTTTGTCATTTATCATCATAATTGCAAATATAATATGTTTAATTGCATGAACAAATCATGATTTGGATATGATTGTCGGTTATATGCGCCTTGGTTATTAGTTTAATCACGAGAGTGAGTATGTACTTTATGTCAACTATATTGCATGATTATATAGATGATTTGTTGGCGAGATATAATTGACTTCATCTGAAACTCAATTATTATTTGTTTTTTTGGTGGATACTATAAATCCTTTCACACAACTGCATCAGCTCACAAAAGGTCACAAAATTAATTAAATCGATCCAAAATCACACGCGTCTTATTTTAGTTAAGATAATTCAACATTTTTTAAATCTCTAAAAAATGAAAAACCAATACTAAATCTGAGCCAAACCATATATATATTTGAAATACAAGAAAACATCACATTGACCACTACAATAAACGTGCTCGAGGTGATTTATTAATGAAAACGTTTTAGAACTTGCAAAAAGCTGTCCCAAACACTTAAGTTACAAAACCGTGGCACATTAGCAACTTATTGAACTACACTGTTAGTCCTGGTTTTGTGATTAACGTGCAACTCCATATATATACTAAGAGTAAGACTACATGAATGTAGCTAAAGAGTTGCTAAAATTGGTCAGTAGTAGCCGCAAAAGTTAAAACTGAATATATGATTACAAATAAAATGTAGTCAGAGAGTCTTATGGCTGGTTTAATACTCCATTTATTAAAGCCGCGTGTCGGGTTGAACTTTGAAGGGTTCAACATCAATGGACAAGACAAGTATTATCGGGTCGCTTCTATAGACCGCATCAATGGACAACTAATTAATGATATTTTTTCAAGCTCAAGGGTTAAAGCTCTTAGACTTCTAGTCAACTTAGATAAATTGTCTGTCTACAAAATGTTTTTTTTTTTTTTTAAAGGGCATTCTGTCTACAAAATGTTCAACTTATAAAGTCGACCATGCATTAAATGCATCCATATGAAAAAAAACATCCCTAAAATAAGTAACGTCTCTGAAGAAGTACGTAGCTGCGGCAAAGAGGCAACAAATGATTAGGAGATCCTTGCGCATTTCTAAGAGTTTGTATGAAACTCATGCAAAGTCAATGACACAATGACTTGCACGCAAAAACGTCCACTAAGAGATGCTTTGAACACTAAATTTGATGTATTAGCTTGTATAGATTATATTACATGTTTTTGGGGTGCAAATTATATACTACTATATTACATTTTTGTGAGTTTTCTTTTTGTAGTTTCTAATCCCCTATTTTGGTTGACCAGAATTTTTAAGTTTTTTTTTGTTAGCTGCCTCTTCTCAAAAATTCAAATTGGTGAAATAGAGTTTGGTAGTTTAAAAATAAAAGTAGTCGCATGTATTATATGCCAACTTATCGATTTTTGTGTTTTGAACGCATAAAATATGTGAAATCGAGGAAGAAGTAAATTATGTCTTGCTATTCGCGAATTCTTAAGTTTGTTTATGAAAACAATTTGGTAAACAAAAAACACAACTAAAAAGAAAAAAAATCTTGGAGGAAATATTTGGCACTATGTGAAATTCTATGATTCAACTTTTTTTCTCCTCATTTTCACAAACAATATCAAAATCAAATGGCCCACCTTGGATTATTTGATTTTGGCTCGCTCTATAAGAAAAGTAAAAGTTGTCTTATTGACAAAAGATGAGAACAGAAAAAAGTTATCACTTCTCTCTTTTATTTTTGAAGCCTGAAATGATAATAGGTCTTAGAAGACCCCCACTCATTGTCTACTTTTTGAATCCTTCAAAGTTGAAAAAAAAACAACCGACAGAGAGAGAAAGAAACCCTCTCTTCCATCAAGAAGTTTTTAGTCCCTTGCAAGAAAAGTAATTAAACAAAGTGCAAACTGTAAGGAAGAAGAAGAAGAAAACACACATGAATCACCAAGTTTCATAATCACTTCTTTGTAGCGTCTCTGTTTATTTCCAAGAACGAAAAAACAACGCCCACAAAAATCTAAATACATCAAAAGAATCATGATATGATGATAAAGAAGAAAATATAAGTAGAAGAAGCCTGAAAAAAAAAAAACATCTCCACACAAGAATTAAGCATACAATGAGAAAAAGAAAAAAAGTTTCACAATATATGATTTTCTTTTCATTCAATCAAAGAATTCCCAATTGAACCTGGGAGGGATAGTGTGATTATTTGCAGTAGTCGAGCTCAATGGAGCCACGGTATGATGATCAAATGTTTCCCATTTAGTAGAAGAATCCATAAGATTTGGTCCTGATCCTGAATTTCTTGGCTCCTCTTCAATCTCTTGCTTCTTCTCTTTGTAGTTTATAGGCATGTCCATAAGCGATTGTACCGGTTTCTGTTCTTGCCTCTGTCCATTGGTATGTTCTTGAATCGTTTCAAGTCTCTTACCACTTGACTGTTTCTGTTGCCCATTAGCTATAGAGTTTTTTACCTTCAAGACATCGAGTATTTCAACATAATTCTGCACTCTCTTCACCTACACATACATAGAAAAACCAAAATGGTTACAACTAAAACTAACACAACAGTCTCAGTGAAATGTTTTTAATAAAATACCTGCATCTTTCTTTGTAACTTCACATCTCCTTCAGCTACAATCCCATCCAACTTTATCAACTCATTCATCAACAATTCAATCACCGTAACAAGATCTTTCTCCGCGATTTTCCCTCCTTTCTTGATAACCATCTCAAACGCTGAAACCTACACATACAAAAAAAAGTTTCTAAAAACAGTCGAAAAACAAAACGATTATAAGAAAGCTAGAAAGGCTTGGCGAGCATTACCCTTCCGCCGAGCCTATCTACTTCGAGGCTGATATCGGAAATCGCTTTAGAGGCCTTTTCCGTTTTGGCAATCTTCCTCATCTCCAAGAAACGCTTCTCTTGGCTAATAGGGTCTTCGATAAGCACCATCTTGGATTTATCTTTCACTCCCGAGACATCAAGAAAGGCCTTTGAGTCTCTTTCTTTGTCTTTGTACATTAGTTTCTGATCTTCATGGTGAATACCCGTTGGTCCACTCAACATCTTCTTTAGCTCCCCTGCACCAATAAAAAAGAAGAAAAATTATGATTCAAATCCACACACATACATAATTAATCTCTAAACTCTTAAAATTCTAAAAATATATGGTAATTCCATACCTTTTTTCTCTATATATATATATATAAAGAAAAATCCATAGCTGTTTTTCTAATTCCGAAAATTCAGAGGTTTTTTTTCTTATGAATTTGAGAAAAAGGGTAATAATATGAAGAGACTAACCAAATGAAGCTTGAGGGCTAATACTGATCTCATGGTACACCGAACCGTACTTGATTCTGACTCTGATCATCGGCGGCGGTGGAGCTCCGACAGGATCCGAATCCGGGTTGCGTTTCTGAACCAGCATTCCTCCGGGTCTCATTTCCCAATCATGACCGCCTGACTCCCTGCCGCCACCACCGCCGCCGGAAGCTCTGCCGCCGTTAATCGCCGCCGCCGGAAGATTTGCCGGTTTGTTTCTCATCATCTTCATCATTTTTTAAATAAATTAAACTATTCGTCTCTCTTCCAGTCAATTTTGTTTGACCGACCAAGGCAGAAAAAAAAAACAACGGATCTGAAGATCTCCTCTGAGAGATAAGTCTCAAAAACAAGACAAAGACATTGGAGACAGAAGAAGAAGAATGTTATAACGAAATCTGGGACTTGGACATCATCAACACCACTCCAAACCCATGTCGCCACGTGTACCACAAAGATCAAAGCAGAGACCTTTCTGATCAACAAAAAAACTCTCACTCTTCTTCTTCTTCTTCTTCGAACTTCAATAGAAGCAAAGAAAAAAAAAGAACAATAAATTCACCAATTTGAAGAATCTGAATTGACTTCAGATCTCTTGTGTCCAGAAAACAATCGAAAGTTAAATTGGACTTTTGTTTTCCCGAGAAAATCGGTTTGGAAAACGAGTATATTAGGAAAGAGTGGAATCTCAGAAAAGCATCCGGATTCTCTGTTCGAGTTTCTAGTTTCAGAGAACCCGTTGGGGAAAAAAAAATGATAAAACTAATTATTTATAAAATAAAAAGGGAATAATAACGAGTGGCCAGCTAATTGAGCTCTCTTTGCTTGTGACTTATATATGTCATCATACATATATACATATACATTTAGTTGTATAAATAAACATCTACTATAATTTTTTTGTCGGAATATTTTTGTATTGTCGTTGGCCTTTCATTGGATGACTATTCTCGGTATTTTTCCAAAATGACAAAATTAATAGATATTTTACTGATGACTTCAGCTTACCTTCAAATTCATGGAGTCAATATCGTATTCATATGGCAGTAGCCAGTAGGTAAGAGTCGATGGATGTACCCTAATCACAAATATATTCTATTGTTCTATCACAAGGCCAATTAGTCGAATAATTACCTTTTTCACGTAGTAAACTAACATATGTAACTTAATATATATTACTAATAAAAGTTGATGCTAAATGTTTCTAAAGGTGTCCACATATAATTTAAAGATTTAATTCTATTGGTATACATCATCATTATTTTTAGTTAATCATATATTGTATACTAAAATTAATTAATTCATTTTAATTATTATAAGGAAAATTTCTAAATTTTAATTAATTTTGTTTTTGTTGTTATTAGAAAAGTTGATGGCATAGTGCATTGAGGGCGTTCATATGGAATTAAAAAAAATCGATCTGATTGGTCCACATCAGCAACTTTCATTAAAAAAAAATGTTAAGTATGATTAAAATCTTAACTTTGTTTTAATCATGGAAAAATTACATAAAAAAGTTTAAATAACAAATAAAAAAGAAAATTATGTTAAAAACCCAAAATAGTATCCTTAAAAATAAAATAAAAATTTATTTTCAAAAGAGTTAAACTAACAAAAAAACTAATATCATAAAAGTTCAAACTTATAATATAGATTAGGAAAATTCTAACTTCTTTTATTAGACAAAAAAATATTAAGTATGATTAAAATCTTAATTTCGTTTTAATCATGGAAGAATTACATAAAAAAGTTTAAATAACAAGTAGAAAAAAAATTATGTTAAAAACCAAAAAATAATATTTATATAAAAGAAATTAATCTGATATCTATGATACCTATTAAAAAATCAACAACAGAAGAGCTTAATAAAAAAAATACAAGTCCTAAGTATATCAAACATACAAAAAGTATATAAATTAAAATAAATAAAAAATTGCTATCTAAAGATGTAAATTATCAACAAAAAAACAAAATTAATTTGAAATTAGTTTTTAAAAGTTTCTGATTTCTAGAGTATTAGTATCAACAATAAATAACTATCTAAAGTTGCAATAGGTTTACATGAGTTTCTTTTTCTTTGACATCAGGTTTGCATGAGTTTCTAAACCAAACATATTTTTAAATATACAATGATTAATACACTTGATGTTTCTGATTAAAAAACTAATAAAAAGACTATAATAACTTTACACTCGATATTTAACAAGTTGAAAAATATGATTTCTATACATAACCAATACTTATATATGAATCAACATCAATAACACATTCTAAAATTTAAATAATAAAGTATGACATAGTTATGAATCAAACTCAAATTGCTATATGTAGATGAAATATTCAAATCAAAGCATGCATATTGTACACATAAGATAAAAACAGTAAAAAATAATACAAAAACTCTACACCACCGATCCTACAAGTTAGAAAACTAAAATTATCAAATATTAGACTGTATAAAAATAGATATCAATGAAAACTAAATAAAAATATAACATAAAACTCTTTGAAGATATGGTGGAGAAGGAAAAAATGGTTTTGCATGATCATTGCGGCTTTCTAACAAAATTAAATGTGAATCAACATGAATCATGGATTAAATATCCAGTGGTACACAACATTAATAAGACTTTCAATAAAAAAAAACTAAATATTTGAACACATAAACCTTCAAAAAAAAGAACTATAGAAATTCTATGGAAAACAGAAAATAATATAAAAATCTTAACAAAAAAATATTTTTCTAAATCAAATGTATATGTACGTCAAAGTTGGAATTCGATAGGTACCATTGATATTATTTTACTTAATAATTTTTAAAATTTATAAATAAAAATAGGAAAAATTACACATTATATATTAAATTATTTTATAATGAAAATTTCTATAAATATATTATATCTTTAATAATTTTAAAGATAGTAGCTAAAAAAAAATTAAACCAAACTATTAATACAGATTCGCGCGTAGCGCGAGTTATATACCTAATAATTATAATAAGATAAACTGAATAAAGATAAACTAATTTACATGAAGTAGTTTACTTGATATTAAACTAATATACGATAATATATATACACTTTACAAGACGACATTAAGTAAAATTAACCTTTTAATTGTTGATTTTTTCAGAATAAATATGTGAAATTTTTGGGTTTTAGTTTGTAGTGTAAAATTAAGAAAGACGCAAACCTTATTATATAATAGAAGTAATGATAATTTTTTTAGGATTAGTAATCAATTTTTTAAGATCTAATCAACTTTTTTATTCTTCTCTTTTCAAGTATTATACAATTTTCTTGTTCTATACATACAATATACTTTTGAATTTTTTTATAAAATATTTAAACTAATTTACATTTTTCTTACTTTTTAATTTGTCTTTTTGATTTTTAGTTATTTTCCCTTTAATTAGTAATATATATCATATAATTTATATAATATAATTGGAAACATAAAATATACTTATTTACTTTATTTTTTATAAATTTACTATAATATTAAATTAAAATATAATTAGTTAGATTTTTTTATATATGTTAAAATTTAAATCAGAGTGTTTGAAACATGTCAAAATCTTAATTAAAGCGTTTGACACATATCATGATCATGTTATATAGTTAACAATTTTAGACACATCAAAATTTCTATACTAAAAAAATAATAATTTATTATTACATTACCAATCTGTTTTAGGTTTTTTCAGTTTTTCTATCTTTTTTTATAATTGTCAGAAAATTTAAAAAAAAACAAAAAAAACAAAAAAAAAAACAAAAAGTCTTGGTTAATCAAGTAGTTTTGTATCTTTGCCTATCAACAAACGACGTCTCAGTTCAAATCAAATTTAATTGTCAAAAATTCAACTAATTTCTCAAACACTCTATATTATACAAAAGTTTTCAAATATATAGGAATTCATTATCAAAATCTCTGACATCATTTCCATAATTTGACAAAAGCAAAAGAAGCTTTCCGTTCAATTTAAGAGATTAAATCAGTAGTAAAAAATCATAAATTGATTACGTATTACAGTATATCTTTTCTCTTTAATAACTATGCATGATTTTTTTTATTTTTTTAATTTATTTGACCATGAGAGTCTTGTGAAAGAACCTATAAATTCTAAGCTAACCTCATTATAAAAAACATCTTTGAATTGAATCATAATTTTTTTCCTCAAAGTTTATCTCTTGTTTTTCTCTTTAGTTATGTGGAGTGTATCTCCAAACTAACAGAGCCCCAAGTTGTATCGAAGGCCTTCTGCAACCTTACCGGTACTGCAAGATCCATCAACCAGTTATCCCTTGTTCGAATTCAGGTTCATTGGACAGAGTAACTCGTCCATTGATTTTACCATCGAAGCTTGATAACTCTTTGTCACAAACCTTATGATAACATGTGTCTCTTTTTGGTGGTGGCGCGTCTATGTACCGACTAATAGGGGAGACGAGAATGACTTTGAAACAATAACAAGATCAAGTTGTTTCCGAGAAAAAAAGCGAATAGAAAGGGGAGGATTTCATGAAAACTATTGGATGCTCATGTTAAATAACAGTCGAGAAAGCAAGCATCCTGATGAGATGGTTATGAATTATGATGGAATATCCAGCCATGAAGTGACATATGACTCCATCTAGTAATGTAATGAGGTTAGAAAGTGATTTGAGGAATAAGAAGTGAATCTCCAAAAGATCTGAACAAAGATTAAGTGTTTCTGGAAGGACTGTCCAATTTGGTAAAATAGATTGGCCATGATCATACCATGATTTGCTGTAATGGTCACGTCATGAGTATGATTTCTATTGATTTATGGAATTTGTTGGTAGTTGCGGACATTATGAATGTTTAAAAGAGTCACAAAAATGAGGTTTTTCAGATCCAAATATCCAATATAAAAGTTGGTAAATGGTATCTAGAAAAAATGGCATATGCATATGCAGTTGAATTAATTCACGAAAGATAAAAATACAACAGATTTGTTTATTTACTAGCGAAATAAGGTTTTGATAACAAAAAGCATTGCGTTATTTTCTTTATTTCAATACTATCTATCTTACATTCTTAATAAACAACACACGTTCACAACTGATATTCCAATTATTAGTTCCAAAAAAAAAAAAAAAAAAAACATTATGATGTTGCCAAGTTAATGATAATGTTTTAGACGTCCAAAAATAATTGTTGTTCAACAGAAAAAAGTTACTAGTAAACCCTTTATTAAAAAAAAATAAATAG